AAAGCATTTGAGCCCAAGAGGTAATGGATCGAGGTCGCAAGGCATTCAACCATGATTTGACTTTATCTCTGAGGAGAAAGGAAATAATTTAGCATAGTTAGCATTGAAGGTTGCAACTATATCCTCAAACTCCTTTATGTGCAAGTAGGGTTTTCCTTATCCATTCCATGGAATGCAGGAAGTAGTTGCAACATCCCAGGCTTAACTTGGAAGAGCTAAGCTTGGACGGTAAAAAGATGCATGAGGGTGTGGTGCTACGGGTTGGTTGGTTGAAGGAAATCCCTTATAGACCTCGTTGGAGATCCATTTGGATGTGGTCCCTTCATTCATGGGAAGGGGGAAATTGCATTCATGGGTTAGGCATTCTAGGTTTAGGCACTCCCCCACCCCTTTGAACATTCAACATTCTAGGTTCAGGCACTCTCTCACCCCTTTGAACATTTGGATCGGTACCCAAGATTATCAAAATTATCACCCGCATCCTCAGGTGAGTTTTGGTCAATATTCATGTTGGGGTCTAAGGGTTGTTTAACCAATCGGTTTGTTCGTCCCTTTCCAACACGCAATAAACTATCTACAAATCAAATTATATACAAACAAGAATATATACACAGAATAACGTACCTCAACCCATGATGAAGATCACGGGACTTACCTCCGCTATCCGAAAATCACCTTCTTGATTCGATAATTTGCCTTCCCCGGCAACGGCGCCAAAAATACTTGATATTTTCGTTGTAAATTCCTAACCGCTCAACATCTTCCCTCAATGTGTATGTATGATGTGTGTAAAAGGGAGTGTCACTCTCCTTTGGGATAATGTCAAAAGAAAGGGCAAGGGAATGGTGAAAATGAAATGTGCAAGTGAGCAAAAATGTTTCTCAAGTGCAAGAAGACTTTTGTGTGTCATGTTTTACTTGGAGGTGTTCCAAAGTCGTTTCCTCGGGGAAGTTGTGGGATTGTTTTGTTTGAAAGGTGAATTTTTTGAAAAGAAAGTGTAAAATCTTTTGTAGTTGAAGTTTGATTTTGTGAGTTGTGTTGTGATGAAAATGAGTTGGAAAACAAGTGTTGGCCAATCCGAAGGGTTCACTCTGATGGGAATACCAAGTCAACTCGAAACCTTCCTCAAATGGTGCATAAGTAAACGATTGATTTGTGGGAAGTGAGGGACATAACGGAAGTGAGGGTCTAAGCATAACTCGTGACAATGGCTACGGGATATCAAGGATTCACACTCCGGTCCACACTTAACCCAGTCAAACCGAACCAGTTGAGATGGTATACCCAAGCGGAGGTCTCCCTTGGATTAACCAACTTAAAGATTTAGCTACTCACGATTAAAGGAAAACCAACAATGTAGTGAGAATGCATTACAGGGAAATGGAAATGCTTGGTGCAGTAAATGCCAAAAGCATAAACTTAATGAGAATGCATTTAATTACCCATTAATGAAGACTAAACTTGAAAACACTTAGAGATTAATGACATTCAAAGCATTAAAGGAAGTTTGGAAGATTCTTACATGAAATTAAAAGACAATACATGGAAGAAAATGTAAAAACTCAACTTCTCTCTCTAACACTATTCAGCTTCTTCCTAGAGCTTCTCTCTCTATATTACCATCTATATCCCTTGCCTTATGTGTATCATGGTGTATATTGCCTCCCAAAAATGTCTATGGAGTCCAGCCCAAGTCTTGTGATGTGATCTCCATCCTTAGGCTGTCAAGAAAGTGAGCTAGATATGTCTGCACACCCAGCACATTCTCTCTCTTCTTTCCTCATTTATGATCAAAGCCTCAAAAGTCCATGAAAGGGGACATTAGGGATGTTCATGGTGTAAGACATGTTAGGGATAGGTAGGAGGATGAGTGGTGGGACCCTAAAAACGGCAGAGCCTGATATACAAAATCTGGGCTGTATTAGTAGAGAGTACCAGTACTGAGTACCTGTACTACAAACTCCAGTAGCATGAGAGTACCGATTTTCCTCTAGTAGCTTAAGAGTACCGGTACTATTTCTCCTGTATTTGTTGGTTCTTTGGTTTTCTCCCCTCCAAAGCTATCTTCAAGCCATCCTTTCATTAGCATTCACCTCAAATCACCAGAGAAGGCTTTAAGAAGCACAATTTATCACCTTTTATCAGTCAACACCACAAATCTTCATTAATAGCTCAAACAACACAAATCCATTCATTTAATGCCCAACTGCAAGTGAAAAAGGAATGTATTAGCACATGAAATATGCAATGTTTTGTGCTAATCACCTGGTATGGATCAATGGAGTGCAATATGTCGTTTTATGAGATATCTAAAAAGAACTATACATGCTGGTTTATTTTGTTGTACTTGAAGGTAACTGTGATGCATATTGAAACACCCTATCAGGTGATTCTATGTCTACTACAGGTTATGTTTTTGCTTTAGGTGGTTGAGCCATAAGTTGAAAATCAAAGAAACAACAAATTATTGCAAAGTCAACAATGGAAACTGAATTGATTGCGCTAACTTTAGCTAGTGAGGAAGCTGGATGGCTTTGTGATTTATTGTTTGATATACCTTTGTGGGCTAAACTAGTGCCACCTGTGTTAATTCATTGTGACAGCAATGCCGCAATAGTTAAATTACGTAATAAGTATTATAATGGAAAATCTAGATCAGTGAGAAGAAAACACAGTATTGTGAGATCATATCTGAATAATGGTGCGATCAATGTTGATTATGTGAGATCAACTGACAATCTTGTCAATCAGTTAACAAAAGCTCTAGCTAGAGATATGATCTGGAGTACATCAAAGGGGATTGGACTCAAGCCCAAATCCGATTAAGTTACATATGAGGATACCCAACCAAGGGATTGGAAATCCCAAAAACTAGGTTAATGGGACAAACGAATCATAGAGTGACTTGGTTTGTGAAACATGTACCAATGGAATTTATATCATTGTTGAAATTTTATATTCATTATCCATCCCTATGGTGTAAAGTACATATGATCTCGTAACGAAAATTTGGAGGATGAGATAAATATCTCTTAATGAGTTTTATAGCCCTTTTTTGGGTGGGATGTCTTAGTTATGAGAACATCCTTGATAGACTCACTTATATGACTGTGGAAGATGAGCTGCTTCCTATGTGAATTTGAGCTAATTCTCTAGAGCACTCAAGAAACTGGGATAAAGCACAAAGCCAAAAATGTGATGGTTTTTGAAGCTTGGTTTTGGACACCTTGAATATTATGTGTGTGATATGGTTCTACGTACCTCAAGTAGTCATCATTTAAGGGCTAAGTCCACTTTGACTCTAGTATGGGAACTTTAAAGCACTAAGTAAAGGTTTAAAGGCATTGCCACATTTGCAATGCATGATATTCTATTTATTGTCCAATTACTTATATAGTGTATCTTTTATTAAAATAAGTGGGGGATTGTTAGAATATTTTAACTAAAAGATTGTTTTTTATGTGTAGGAACTCAATCTCACATCGGCTAAATATCCAAAAGTACTTGAGTGTATATATATATATATATATATATACTAGTGTTATCTAACATTTGAATTAAAAAGAGATCTTGCGACTCTCACGTGCGCAGGGATGGGACTAGCGAAGAAGACACGGATTTCTAGAACCCATCCATATTTATATTACTCATGGAAGGTTCTAGATTTTTACATATGTTATAAATAAATAAATAAAAATATCTAGAATATTTCTCAAGGCATTTCTAGACATCTTCTAGAATGTAAGTATTCTATAACTCTTCTAAAAATTACATACATCTCCTTCCAAGATATCTTATATTTTGGGTTTTTTGTATTGGGCTATATCTATTGATTTTCCTTGGGCTTCATTTTTTTGAACCAAATCAAGTTTATACTTCTACAGTTTTAGATGAGGGAGGGTATGAGTTGTTAGTAACCAGCTGCTGTAAGTCCACCATCAACAACCATAACCTGCCCAGTAATGTATGAAGCAGTTGGAAGGCAAAGGAATGCCATAAGTCCTGAAATCTCATTAGGTTTAGCAATGGGATGAAGAGGAACTCGAGCCATCATCGGCACGAATATCTTCACTATGGATTATTCGGCATCCTCCTGGAGAAGATAAAATTTATCAGCTGATCAATCAGTACTATGCGTTTACTCGTTAAGAAATGAAAAATAAAAAATAAAATCCAGCCATATTTAGTAATGGGTTTATTAGGCAAGAGCGTTTAATGTGTGAGAAATAGTACTGGTTTGATAATGGTGGTTCGGACAACCCCCGGTGCAACAGTGTTGCTGCGAATGTTGTCCTTTGCCCATTCACAAGGCAAGTTCTTTGTAAGTTGATTGATTGCACCTGAGAACATAATGCGGTGGTAAAAGTTTGACTTTTTGGCCCGGTTTTGATGACAATAATCAATTGCATTCTTAAACATCTCAATTCTTGTGGTATTCAAAATCCGAGTAATCCATTACAAGGATTACAACTATCTAGATGAGGCCGAATTCAATTAGTTTTTCCACCGCAACAATTGAGAAACATACCTTTAGACGCTGCATAGACTGAGATAGCAGGTAGACCCATGACACCAGCAATAGAGGAAATAAAAATGATATTTCCAAGTCTAGATGCTTTGAGCATAGGGTATGCTAGTTGGGAGAGATGGTATGGGGCCTTAACATTAGTATCCATTACATTTGAGAAATCCTCAACAGTATGCTCTGTGGCTCGCTTTAGTAGACTTATTGCAGCATTGTTTATCTGAAGGTGTAACAATAGAACAATTTTCAGTGTAAGTAGTGCAGATTCTTACTTCAACAAGAGATAAAAAGTCAAAGGGATTTAGATCATTTTCATTACATTTTAACTCAATTTCACCCAATTGTAGATCACTCAGCATGTATGAGTAAGAGGCCTACATATAAATAATGGGTCTCATATGAATACATGATGAATGATTTATTATTGAGTAAAATTATGTGAAAAAGTAATAGAGAGGATTTCAAACTAAGTTATGCCATCCATGCTTCTTTATTTCTTCTTTTTGAAATTTCCTTTTTTTTCTTTTGTTTTATTTTTGATTTTTTTTTTCATGTGAACATATTCTTGTTTTTGAAATTGAAAGTTTTTGTCTTTTTTTTTTTTTTTCATTCTGGAATCTGTTTGGAACTATAATATAAAATTATATAAATGTTCGATGCATTGGCATCTGGCAAGTTTGAAGACATTAAGAGGAGACCAAGTGGCAAAATTTGAAAAGGTGGAAATGATCAGCCACAACTTTGTTTAAAATAAAAAATAACTACTTGGAAGTTATCAGGTAGATAACCGTTGCTGGAGGCAGAACCCGTCGAAGATTGTGGTTATGAAAGACAGAAAATGAAGAAATTGAAGGAGACATTCAAACTCCTCACAAGATCCAAGATCTGCACATTTTTAAGAGTAATTTTTAATTAGTTTTAGGGAGTAGTTATTGTTGTAATCATGACTATTAACTCAATCTTTTCTGTAATCGAAATCCTTTCAATTGAATTAAAAAAGAAAATCTATTTTATTAGTTCCCTATACTGTATCCCTTTAGAATTCATCCAAGAAAGTCTTGTAACAAAACAATTGAACCCATCTTAAGTAAATGTCTGAAGTTGTCAATCGATTGAGTTTTTCTGTCGATTACAATAGATTTTTGTGCAATAGAATCCTAAGCGAATGATTTTTTTTTTCTTTTTGGTTTAATATGAGGTGGCACAAATCCGTTATTTTCCCTACAAAATAAATAATACTGATAAGCCCATCAAGTCACTATGCTTCTTCTATTAATTATTATAAAACTTTCAGGATTATCTATCTCCCAAATCACTTGAGACGATTTTGCTTAGTTGTGAATGTGACAACAGCGGACTGGGTATACAAGGCCTCTTTCATGTTCATGTCAGTGGTGTGACTTTGATATTTTCTCAATTAGAATCTAGTGGCGTGTGAACCCATAGTTCTTAATAAATTGATGTAATTATGACATCTATTCATTATATTTTCTTTTGAATTTTATGTTTAGTGGATCATCCACCGTGAATTCAAATATGGACCATGGGATTGAATACCCCAACCCCAGAGGCTCCCGAATCACTATCCGAATATCCAACAAGTCTAAAATCATTAGTGCAAGAATAAAATAAGCCATCATTGAGTGTACCTCTAATATAATGTAAAATCCTCTTTGCCGCACTAAGATGAGTTTGATTTGGTGTTTCCATATATCTACTAATTAAGTCAACTCCATAAAGAATGTCCGGCCTTGTGCAGGTAAGATACCGAAGACTTCCAACTAAACTTTTAAAGTATGTTGGATCAACATTTCTACCACTAATGCTCTTCCTCAATTCCAATCCAATTTCCATGGGTGTGTTCACTGGGTTGCAAGAATCCATCTTGAACTTCTTGAGTATTTCCTTTGCATAACTACTTTGAGAAATAAAAATTTCATCTTTACTTTGCTTAACCTCAATGCCAAGGAAATGAGACATTAAGCCAATATCAGTCATTTCAAACTCCTTAACCATACTTCTCTTGAATCCATCAAACATCATTGAGTCATTGCCAGTGAAGATCAAGTCATCAACATAAGGGCAAACAAGTAGCACACTTCCATTGACATCCATCTTCATATATAATGCATGCTCATAAGGACACTTTTGAAAACCATTCTCATGAAAGTATTTGTCAATTCTGACATTCCATGCACGCGGTGCTTGGTTTAATCGATAGAGATATTTTCTCAACTTGTACATTTTATCTTCATGTTTCTTTTTCACATACCTCAAAGGTTGTTCAACAGAAATTTCTCCTCAAGAAATTCATTCAAAAATGCTGATTTCACATCAAGTTGGTAAATCTTCCACTTATTTTGTGCCGCCAAAAAAATATCAGCCTATCCAAACAAGCAACGGGAGCAAATACCTCACCATAATCAATTCCGGCCCTTTTCTTGTAGCCTTTAGCAACCAACCTTGCCTTGTATTTTTGGACTTCACCATTTGCATCATTCTTGGTTTTATATACCCACTTCACACCAATTGCTTTATGACCTTGGGGAAGACAAACTAGTGCCCTTGTATCATTTATTTCAATTGCCTTCATTTCTTCATCCATTCTATTCTTCATTTCTCTTCTTAAGCTGCTTCTTCAAAACATAAAGGATCATAGTCCATGAACAAATAAAACAAATTCAAGTTACCTTCAAAATTTTTCGAAGATTCATAAATCTCTTGGAAACTTTTTAGTTTTTTGGTCTTTCATTTGAATTAGAATTCGATGATGATGATGACAGTGATTCACTTGTAGAAGATGAGGGGGATCCATGAGGAGGTGTTTGTGGTTCTCTTTCGACTTCCCTTGGTTTCTCTAACTCTTCTTCTTCAAGTATAAGTTCCACTTTGGTGGCTAAATTTTTTTCTTTCCAATTCCACATGTCTTCCTTTTCAAAGATTACATAACTTGTACCCCATTGTTCTATCACCATACCCAAGAAAAATGCACTTTTCACCTTTATCATCAAAATTTGTCCTCCTTGCTTCGGGAATCTTCTCATAAGCAATGCATCCAAAAACTCTAATATGGGCAACACTAGGCTTGAATGAACACCAAGCTTCCTTCGGGGTCTTGAAATGAACACTTTTGGTTGGACATCGATTCAACAAGTATACTGCACATGCTATGGCTTCGGTCCAAAATTCTCTGGGCAATCTTTTTTCTTTCAACATGCTTCTAGCCATATCAAGAATAATCCTATTTTTTCTTTCCGCAACTCCATTCAATTGAGGTGTGTAGCTTGGAGTGAACTGATGCACAATTCCATGCTCCTTTCAATAGTCTTCAAATAAATCGGAACTATATTCACCACCTTGATCGGCTCTCAACCTCTTGATAAAATAGCCACTTCGCTTCTCAATACGATTCTTGAACTCCTTAAAAACTTCAAACACTTCGGACTTCATTCTTAAAAAATACACCCAAGTCTTCCAGCTATAGTCATCAATAAAAGTAAGAAAGTAGCAATTCTCACCATTTGACATAGGATTCAAAGGACCACAAACATCTGTGTGCATAAGCTCCAAGGGTCGTGATGCTCTCCACTTAACTTCTCTTGAGAAGCTTAATTTGTGATGCTTGCCAAAAATACACCCTTCACATAATTCATTAGGATGATCTATGTAAGGTAGACCTTTCACCATTTTCTTGCTAGATAAAAGCTTCAAGCCACCAAAATTAAGATGTCCAAATCTTAAGTGTCACAACCAAGAATCATCTTTAATAATAGCATTCAAACATTTCATAGCATCATGTTGAATATTCAAAGGAAACATTCTATTCTTGGACATTTCCACATTAGTAATCAAATTACCACAAGCATCTTTAATTGTAAGGTAAAGATTCTTCATGCTAATATCATAACCCTTTTCTAAAAGTTGCCCCATCTCAAAACACTATTCTTCATATCCGGCATATAATAGACATCATAAATGAAATCATGATTGCCATTCTTTAGCTTAATAAGAATTTTACCTTTGTCTTTCACCTAAATGTTGGAGGAGTCACCAAAAGTAGCTTTACCTTGCGCCACTTCATCAAGTTCTACAAACATATGTTTCTTGCCACACATATGGTTGCTTGCCTCAGAATCAAGAAACCACACATTGCCATTATTTTCCTCGGATCCATTGTAGGCCAACAACAAAGTAGATACCGCTTCATTACTTGCTTTCTTGACATAATTCATATGTTCTTTAATGCCTTTATTTGCACTTGGCCAACATTCATTACTATAATGCCCAAACTTGTGACAATTGAAACATTCAACATTTCTCTTGTCAAAACCTTGATTGTTGTAATTGCCTCTTGCTCTTCCTCGTCCTCTACCTCTTGAACCATAAGAATTTTGATTTCTTGTATCATTAGTGAATTGGCCTCTTCCACCTCTACTTCTATTAGCATAGCGTCTTCCACGACCTTCATAGCCTTTTCCTCGATTGTCATAACCTCTAGCTCGTGTTCTATTACCTCTTCCTCTTTGAGATGTACTACCTTGAAATTCACTTTTTTCATCTTTCAAAGATAGATTGGATTGGAGAGCTTGTTCAAGAGAACTTGAAGTCTTTTTATTAATACGTTACTCATGTATTTTCAATGTCGCCATCAATTTATCAATGCTCATAGTCTTGAAATCCATGGATTGCTTAACAGCTACAACAACATGCTCAATATCTTCTCCATACCTTCGCATTTGGTTCACAATCACCAAAGTTCTTGAAAAATACTCCAAAATTGACTTGGCTCCATTCTTATTCAACCCTTCAAATTAACTTCGCAATATTTGAAGATGAATCTGAATTGTTTTATCAATGCCTCTATGCATATTCTTCAAAATTTTCCAAGCTTGTTTCGAAGAGGTGGCAAAAGAAATCTCTCAAAAAGTGTTATCGTCAATACATTGGTAAAGAAAAAATAAGGCCTTCTTATTCTTCTTCCTTGATTACTTAGGCACCGTCTTTGAGCATCATTAAATGCTTGCTCTTCCTCTGTAGTCGGCTCATTGTAACCTTTTTCAACAATTTTCCAAAGATCTTGTGATTGAAACAACACCTTAATTTGAATACTCCAATTCCCATATTTATCTTTTCTCAATTTGAGAATTTGGGGTTGAAGCACATTACTCATAGTGGTCATAACAAAAAATCAAGTAGCAAACCCTTCATTAAAAGAAATCTAAATTTCATAATCAAGCTCTGATACCAATTTTGTTGGGAATTGAAAGTCAAATAGGTCACCAAAGGTAAGTAAAACATAGACAAAAAAATCTGCTATACTATCACACAAATTTCACTCAAGGAACACCTTTATATTTCATCAAAAATGATTACAATATCAAGTATACTATCACACAAATTCACTCAAGGAACACCTTTATATTTCATCAAAAATGATTACAATATCAAGTATACTATCACACAAATTCACTCAAGGAACACCTTTATATTTCATCAAAAATGATTACAATATCAAGCAGTACAAAGGAGATAACTTATCTAAAATTTTCCAGCAAAACACCCACTAAATACAAAGGAATGGAGCTTGTACTCATGTCGCACACTTGCTGGTTTTTCTTTCCAGAAAAACACAGTTTTCTCTTTGATTTTCCCTCTGTTTTTCTGCATAAAACCACTCTATTTTGGAAACAACTATTAGCCCCTTTTTATACCTCTGTTTTCTAGTCAAAAGTCCTTGAATCTGGCCACTCCATGGCCAGCCACCTCCATGCATGAAACCAACTGTTTGTCTGTTCAACTTTCCACGTAGCAATGCATGGACACATCTCCCAAAGACATGAAAAGACTTCTGGATTCTTCTACTGCCTCTTCAAATACACAAAAGACATGCTTAAATACCATCTAACACCTTAACTTTTCAATATTACGTCATAAACCCAAAAGTCAAATACAAAAGCTACCATTTAAGAATTGGGTTTAAAATTAACAGTATCAAGTTAATTGACACATGGATATATGATATGTTTTTCTCTGTGTCTAATGGAAAACATCACTATTAGGGCTGATAATTTTTAACATGATCCATTAATCTAACACGAACTGCTTATAAATTTTATCATTTATGAGTTTGGATCATAATTGGTTGGCCAGCTAACCCCGCTTGATATATGGGTTTTATATTGATTGAGCCAACTTTGACATGAATGCAATTTACATGATTAGAATGTATGTACGGGCTCGACACGATATAACATCTCTTTACATAATTTGCTTATCCGGCATGAAATTAGCACAAGGTTAACACAACTTGCCTATCGTGCATGAGGTCAACACGAGATTACCAAATTGTAATTTAACATTAATGGAACGGAACACTATTGATTGATGACCCAGTTAATAATGGGTCATGTATGGATCAAACTAATTTTGACATGACACAACTTGCTTGATATAGATACTTCACTTGGCAACCCATTCCAACCCTACTTGCAATGGTATGCATGTTTTGTGTCCATGGCAAACATTTCTAAAGTCAATTTCTTCTATGCATGCAGGCTTCAAGAGAATTCCATCGGTTGGAAATCTTCTGGCCACTAACACAACTTCTGCAACAGAACCGAGTTCCAATCTCAAGAAAAATTTGATGCTCCACATCCACCATCAGTTTAGTGGAAGTGTGGAACTATTTGTCTTTGTTGGAGTATAGATAGTCTAAGTTTATTAGGATTTCTTTTCCTAGGTTTATTAGGATTTTTTTTTTCCCTTTTTTACCTTTACTATGATTTTTATATTTTGCCTATATATACGGGGTTTTACTCTTAATTTGAGTATCTCCTTTTACTCACAATTATTTCAAGTTGGTATCAGAGCAAGGTTAGGGTTTGGGGTAGGGTTAGTGTATGGCTCTACCAGCCATACCGCCGAAACCACCCTGGCCATCAGCTGCCCAGCGAAACCGACCAAACCAGCGACAAAACCAGTCCACCGACTGCCCATCCTCATACCAGTCCATACACTGACTGTCTATCCTTATACCAGTCCACCACAACCTTAATCCAGTGGTTAGGGTTTCTCTTTCTTCAGCAAACGACCTGAAAGTGAATAGGAGAGGTTAAAGTGACGGCGTCGTCGCTGTCCGCCTTGATCAAGCCGTCGCTTCGTCTTGGCCCTCGTTTTTGCCCAATCTCTTCCGTTCAATTTTAGGCCTTAGTCTTGTACACTCTGTTGAATCTATACATATACTTATATCTTTGAAGCTCAAGCTCATCAGAATCAATGGCGGTGAAAACATCGAAGGCCGAAAAGAAGATCGCTTATGATCAGAAGCTGTGCCAGCTTCTTGATCAGTACACCCAGGTCCTCATCGCCGCGGCCGACAATGTCGGATCGAACTAGTTGCAGAATATTAGGCAAGGACTTCGTGGAGACTCTATCGTGCTGATGGGGAAAAATACTATGATGAAGAGGTCCATCAGGATCCATTCTGAGAAGACCGGCAACAAGGCCTACCTCAACCTTATTCCTCTGAGGCTGCCCTGCTTGCAAAACTTGGGATAAGACCCTTCTCTTATGGTCTGCAAGTTCTGTCTGTTTATGACAATGGTTCAGTTTTTAACCCAGAGGTGCTTGATCTGACTGAAGATGATCTTATGGACAAGTTTGCTATTGGAGTTTCCATGGTTACTGCCCTGTCACTGGCCATCTCGTATCCAACACTTGCAGCAACCTCAATCCATACCAGTTCAACCAGTCCATACCGATCCTCACCTGCACTGACAAATACCACCGACAGCAAACAAACAACCTGCCCATAACCATATGCTAAACCAGCCCACTGCTGGGTCACAACTTTCGTTGTGATTTTATTCTAGGACTTTTTTGGGAGGGAGCGGATCCTCTTTTTCTGTTGATCTTCCCTTGATGCAGTAGATCACTTATTTATATATTTTGGATTTCTGGGCACCGTGACTTGATTATTTGGGAGCTTTTTGGACCTTCCCTATTTGTCGCTACTGTTCGACTGAAGGTATATTGTTCTCCCTTATTTTATTCCTCTATTTATCTTAGAGTTATTTTTCTGTCACGGGTGCCCTAGTATTGTTGTTGATATGACTACTACTGAGGGACTTGAGAACCCTACTGTTGACACCTCTACCATTGAGACAATCTATAATGAATTTTGATTGTGAATTGAGTTGAGTTTACTCCTCTTGTTCTTGATTGAACTTTTGAACTTATCAAAGGTAAATCACATCCTTTGTGGCGTTCTTGCTTGTAATTGGGGTTCTTCAGACGGGTCTAGATTTTAATATAATCTAGGTTCTTGGAACGAGATCTCAACGGGTCTAGTTGCATTACCAGCATTACCGGGTATGATCTCTCAAAAAGTTACGGCACAATTGTTGAATGGTCGTAACTTCGCTGAGTGGTCACGCTCATTCCAGCTTTTCTTAGGCCGTGTAAGGAAGCTTGGTTGGCTGACGGAATCTCACCCAAAGCCAGCTGATGCCGACCCTGGATATTCTGCATGGTTCTCTGAAAACTGTGCCATTCTTGGATGGTTATTTGGCTCAATGGAGCCCTCTGTTTGCAAGATCCACCAGTTTCATAGCTCTGTTCCGAAGCTATGGAGCGCATTATCAGAGATGTATTCTCAGTCAGAACGGAGAGTTCGTGTTTATGAGCTTTCTCAGGAGCTCTCATATGCTCGGCAGGTAGGGTCCCGTTCAGGATCCTTAGTCAGGGATAGGCAACGCTCAGACCAGCGCCGTCAGGGCGCCCCAGATTAGCGCAGACGGGGGGATTCCCGTCAATGTGATTATTGTGGCCGACCAGGACATCTCAGGGCTACTTGCTGGAAGCTCCATCCAGAGCTTAAGCCACCTTCTCGCAGTCGTACTGTTGTTATTGCTGAGGTACCACCGCCCACTGCCGCCACTCCTGCTACTGCTCCTCCTTGGCAAAGTGATATGGATGCTATCACTTCCCGATTAGATATACTTATGTCTGCTCTGACTTCTCAGAGTCTGACTACTGCTGCTGTCACCACTACAGGTTCAGTTAGCAGATGGAACACATGTCTCTATTGTTAGTAGGGGTACAGTCCGTCTCCCAGATGGCCTTATATTACATTCGGTTTTTCATGCGCCAAAGTTGTTCACCAGGTCAAGATAGACCTTGGGAAGGCCTTCGATGTGAAGGATCTCAGACCGGTTCTCTAGCCTGTTATTCAGATTCAGATTATGGGGGAGCATGTGATGGTCGATCTACTACGGGTTTCTGTGCTTTTCGAGGGACTCATCTTATCTCTTGGAAGAGCAAGAAGCAGGCGGTTGTCTCCCGCTCGTCCGCAGAGGCAGAGTATCGGGCATTGGCACTTGGCACATGTGAGATTATCTGGCTACGATCGATTCTTGACGAGTTGGGTTTTTCAGTGACCTCTCCATCCACATTATATTGTGATAATCAATCTGCTATTCAGCTCGCTTCTGACTCTGTACTACATGAGAGAACGAAGCATATAGAGATCGATGTTCACTTTCTTCGGGAGAAGGTCAGCAGTGGTCTTGTTACTCCATCGTTTGTGGGGACCAGTGATAAAGTTGCGGATGTTTTTACCAAACTTGTCACTCTGTCTATTCTTCGGGACTCCGTTGTCAAGCTTGGCTTAGTTGACATTTTTGCGCCTAGCTTGAGGGGGAGTGTTGGAGTATAGATAGTCTAGGTTTATTAGGATTTCTTTTCCTAGGTTTATTAGGATTTCTTTTCCCTTTTTTACCTTTACTATGATTTTTATATTTTGCCTATATATACGGGGTTTTACTCTTAATTTGAGTATCTCCTTTTACTCACAATTATTTCAAGTGTCTTTGTAATGATGTACACTTCAAGAATGTTTGTCTATCCAAACCAGGATTACTACATATTTACAAGACTGGAATGTATGTCTATATGGATACTTTCTCTTCTATTTCCGTAGTAGTGTATGATCATCCTATTATACAGGCAAATCTAGTCCTAGAACATTGAAGAATATGCAGTATAAACGGTGACAAATTCTGACGCAAGTGAAGATCAGAACCCGTATTACCCGCTTTAGAATTCAACAAGGTGAAGATCGTGTTTCTGGCCTATGAGTTAAAAGGATAGCGAAAAGTATTTTCGTGTAGCCAACTAAATTTTGGTAGACATTTGTATGTTTTTCTTTGAATTATAGATCGACAGGATTCCATTTATTGGGTATGTGTAAAGGTTGCACATGTAAAGCACCGGACATGGGGGGCTGCAGATTCATCATGTTTTTATAGCCAATTCAGAATGGTTCAATTGATTGGGTTGAAGTGAAGGTTGTGATAGAATGACTATTTTCTTTAAGTTAGTGCTAATGTTTTGGACAGTTTTTTTGAACATAAATCAGGTGTTCATTGGACCTAGATGAAAAAATGGGATCATTTGAGCAAGAATTCGTGTCATATAAACATTGTTTTGGTGTTTTTTTTTGTGCCGTAGAACTTGTTTAGTTATATAATTCTAAAAACAGTTCTACAGAATAAAAATAGTAAAACTTGTTTTAACAATAACCCAAAAATAATGAAAAAAGAATTGTGGTGGTGGTGGAGTTTTTTAAATTCTAGAAAGGTCATTTTAAAAAATAATGAAAATAGAGAACAAGTTAGGACTGTTTTATGTGTTTTTTAAATTGACCATTCCAAAATTTAAAAAACACAAAAAATTCCTAACTTGTTCTCTAATCTACCTACTTTTGTTTTCAATTTAAAAAAAAAAAACAGCTGGCCAAACATCTTTTCTCCTAGAAACTGTTTCCGAAAACAAAAAATAGTGGGAATTGTGAACAAAACTAGAGAACAACATTTAGATATTTTCTGAGTTTTCAAGCCAAAATAGAAAACAAAGAAAACAAGGACAACAACCCTAAACTCTTTAATGAGGTCTCCCCTTCAAACCTCCTTAGCAACAAAACATTTCATAGTATAAAAGTTTTTTTTTGCCCGTCTTTCCATCCCCGACTTTCTCTCTCTCTCCACTTCAGCGAAACCAGACATCTTCGTCTCTCCAGCAACTAGAGAGCTCTGACGACTAAGGGAGAGCTCAGATGAGATCATCTTCTTCGACGACTAAGAGCTCTCCAGCAGGGTTTAGATATGATTTTCAAATCTAGGTTTTCAGATCTAGGTCTTCTTCGGCGAAAGGGTTCTTCTCTGGTGAAAAGGTTCTTTTAGATTTTGATCCCAATGCACTCCTAACTCATTAAAGACTCTAGCAAGTTCCTTTAGCAAATCTCACTATCCCATTCCCCCACTACACCTTTTAGGTTCTTATTATAGTCTGCAATGTCTTTTTCTCCTTGCTCACTATACAGCCAACATACGATGAAGTTTAAAGCCATTAACATCAGTCAATGGGTTCGTCTGCTCCAGCAAAGCTCTGGCAATGTAGTTCAATCAATGGTAAGATTTTTTTTTTTTTTTGTATTTTATCAAATTTAATTCCCAAGCATATTATCACATAATCTCATGCAAATAACACACTTAATTCTCCAAGATATAATATAAACATATAGCATGCCCACATAACACAATTTTTCAAGAAATTACAAGCTAGAAATTTGTAAATACCAATTCATACTAGAATTGATTTTATCCATTTTCAATACTCATTTCATCAAATTTACACTAATAGGCAAGTGTTGTATACATCTAACACCCTACTCATTCCATATAATTACCTTAGGTTGGAAATAAACTTAATTGGAGAGAAAATTCTACCTCTTGAAGCGTAAAACGATGTTAGGAAGCTCCAAGAATCACAAATTACGCCTAAAGTCCTTGATTTCTCCAAGCCTTTTTTTGAAAATTTATCCAAATCCATACTTTTTTTGTATGGTTGCGTAACCCTCGACGAGGAGAACAATTTTTGTTCTTGGTTCGTGTTGATTTGACCAGCAAAATTTCGTAGATCGTAGAGAGAAGGTGGAGAAAATCTTGACTTTCCCTCTCTTCTTTTGATTTTTGGAAATTTGATGATAAATGGGGAGAAATCTGATTTTTATCCCCTATTTATACACTTTAAATCTTTGGTTCTCATTCTGCCACATGTTCTCCTTTTTCGGGTCCAGTTTTGACCCGAATCGATTAAATTTCGTCTTGATTCAAGTTCAAAATATTTTTATATGAACTATCTTTAAATTACTATGCATTTTTTGAAATTTTATTCCCGGTTCATTTATGAGGTCATTCGACACCCGATTACCTCGTAAATTGTGAAAAACTTGACTATATCAGAATTTGACAAAAATTGACATAGTAGCTAGATTTTGCGAGACGAATCCAACAGCGAGGTCCGTTTCGTCATCTGAATTCTATAAAAAATTGGATTTTCAACCTGTACTATAGTGACAAATTACCGTTTTATCCTTTTTTATAAAATGTTCAAATTTACCTGAGTTTTACATTCGTTCGCCCTTAAAAGAATTTCATCCTCGAAATTTACACACATAAACATTCAACCACATGCATATGTAGCAATCATATAATACTAAATGACTATAAGAATGTATTTTCATCCTCGAACGAAAACGGATAACTGGTACGTATAATGTCGTCACGCTCCCATGTCCCCTCCTTTATACCTCAATGCTGCCACAAGTCTTTCACCAGTTTCACAGTCTTGCCTCGCAAAACC